AACAAAGCATGTATTTATTTAAAGCATTTTTTAAATAAATTCTGCACTCTACCCGCATGACTCTCAGAGCATCTTATGCAAGATTGACACCACTTAGGATTGTTTGCCTTCTTTTGTTTGTCTACGAAGCATTTTGTGTTCTGTGGACTTTTCAGGAGGGAGCTGAAGTTAAAACGGGGTTTTTTCCCCCTGACTTCAGACTTTATATCAGTCTATATGGAGGTGTTCCTGTGCAAAGATTAGCTGTCCCACGATTCTTTGTTTCCATACGACAACCAGGTTTGTACTTTGAGGAAGCTTGCAAAAAAGACGGCAAGAATAATGGCCTATATACCGTTCTTCGACAGCTCCCTCTCTGTCAAGGTAGCTCTTTTGTCGTCTTCAGAACTTTAGAAGAATCCCATCCATCCTGCCCAGATACATCAGAGAGAGTGGGGTGATGGTTTTACTCCCATCAACCTTCCCCCTTTTTTGTATCTAAGAGTTTCCCACTTTCCCTTGGCAAATTCAGGCTATCAGGTCGTTCCTTTAGAACAGGGTTGTCAAAGTGGCGGCCCGAAGGCCAGGTGCGTCATGCGAAGGCCACGCCCACCCCGGGCTCCACAAAGGCAAAAAACCTCGCGATATGTCAAGTGACGTGATCGAGTTTGACACCTGTGCTTTAGAACATGGAATCCTAGTACCAATAAAGAAGAATATTTGTAACTCAGGGTTGAAATGAGGGATCCTTGGTGCTCTCTGAGCTCGCGTGTTTTCTTGCAGGCGTTTCATGACCCAAACTAGGTACCGTCATCAGTGCTATATCCTTACTAGCAGGGATGACGTTACCTAGTTTGGCTCATGAAACGTCTGCAAGAAAACACGCAAGCTCAGAGAGCACCAAGGACTCCTTATAGAATCATAAGGAGGCTGGAAGGGATCTTGGAGGTCTTCTAGACCAACCCCCTGCTTTAGTTGCTTCCAAAGGCACCCTTCCAGATGGCTGCATCGGAAGGAGTGTGTCTCTCCTTATTCTTTAACCGGAAGCAGTTTCCATTGCGATCATTAAATTTTGGAGTAGGTGAACACCTGGAAACCATTTTGTTGGATTATTGAAGGTTATAGCTCCACCACTTAATCTTCCAAAGGTTCATAGGAGGCAGCGTCTCCAGCCTCCTTAACAGCCTCCTGCTGTAGCCCGAGATAGATGATTTTCTCTTGTCTCTCTTTTCTCTTTTCTACATTTGTATTGTGTCTGCTAAATTGTTAGCCATTGTTTTAAGCTGAGCCACTTGATGTGATTTCTATCTGGAAGGAAGCTGCTTAGGTTAAAAAAAAAAGTAGCAGGTGGCAACACCACTCCATTAATTTCTCTATTGCCACATTGCCTTTATGGCTGTGATTCCATGAGTTAATCGTTAGCACAAACCGTGGTTTGCAAAGAATAATAGTTTGCAATCATAATATTATGATTCCTGGTTCAGAGTAGCCTGTCAGTCAAAAAGGAAAAAAAAAAAAGGATTTGTCTGTATTTATACAGAACCGGAGTTAAACCTCAGTAACATTCGAGTGGCCTGATTTTGGAATGGAAAAGAGTTTTAAGAGTTCAAAAGCTTCTTTTTGTGTGTGTGGATAATGTTGTACAACACTTAACCTGTCCAGTCAGATCAAGATGTTGGCGAGAACTCACAATGCAAAGTATAGTGATCCTCAGGAATTTTATTGGAGGTTCTTAAATGAAAAACTCAACCCTGAGAATGTGCTTGCTGTCCATCATCTTGTGTTCCCTTGCAGGTCACCAAAGGTCTCGGGCAAATAAATCAGTCCGCAAATAGTTTCATTCCTGTAACAGCAATCTCATTATTTGAAGGAATAAAAATTCGGAGGAAAGAGTATATATAATACTGGCCCCAAACTGACCCTCCCACAAAAGTAAGTCAGTGTGAAAAAGCCAATTACTATACAGTGCAGATTAATTGCAGATTAATTTGTAATGCAGCTGCTGAGTATGTTGGATCGCTACAGCCAGTGATGGGATTCAACCTTTTTTACTACTGGTTCTATGACAGTGTGCTTCGCACACATGCACAGTGGTCAAAAACCACCAATTTTGAGCTTCAAACAACTGAGGCATGGTAATCCCTTCTGCTGCGCAATTCAGCTGAGCTCAAAACCAAGGAAATAAAGGACAGGAAAGGGCAGGTAGGCGGGGCCAACCGTTCACCGGTACATACTGGCGGCATCCCACCATTGGCTACAGCTTGTCACTCTATCACACGCTTACCCAAACAGGCCTGAAAACAAGTTTCCTTGTGTTCCATTTGGGATTTCACAAAAATAATAAAACAAGGGTTTGCATTTCTGAGATCCTATTGGGTACATTGCTACAATGAGTCTTGTTTTCTGTAACAGCACACTTCTGTAACAGCACACTAGACCAGGGATCTCCAACCTTGACAACTTTCAAACTTGTGGACTTCAACTCCCTTTGGCCGAGGATCTCTGGGAGTTGAAGTCCGCAGGTCTTAAAGTTTTTTTATTTTATTTATTTATTTTGTCAAGCAATTATAAGATAACAGGTATAAGTATAAGCATGGTTATGAATACATGTAATGGATACATATAAGAAAAAAAAGAAACAATAGGACAGGGACAATAGTGCCTGTTGGTGGGATTATGCACGCCCCCTATAGACCTCTTAGGAAAGGGGTGAGGTCAGGGATCGGATTCTACCAGTTTGCACCTATTCACTAGAACCGGTTATTAACATTCTAAGCAGTTCAGAGAACCGGTTGTTAGAAGAAATTACTGGCCTAATCCTGTAAGGAAGGCAGGAAGGAAACATTCTGGTGTTGCTTAAAGAAACTGCCTCTCCGTTAGTCCTTATTACATTCTTGGCAGGACTAGACTTCTTGTCTCAGGAACATCTCTGGAATTTTTTCCCCTCCTTTGCTGGTACTTTGCTTGTGTGGAGTGACCATTCAAAGTTACAATGGCACTGAAAAAAGTAATTTATGACCATTTTTCACACTTATGACTGTTGCAGCATCCCCACGGTCATGAGAGGCCAGGCGAGGATATGCGTTCCTTGATGTGAGTGATATTGAATTGGCCACACCCAGCCAATAACATGACCACCAAGCCATGTCCACCCAGTCACATGACCACCAAGCCACGACCAACTAAGCCACGCCCACAAAACTGGTTGTTAAAAATTTGAATCCCACCCGTGGGTGAGGTCAATAGTAAACAGTCTAAGGGTTTGGGGAAGAAACCACAGAGTCAGATAGAGTATTCCAGACTATTGATCACTCTGTTGCTGAAGTCATGTTTCCTGCAATCAAGTTTAGTGCGGTTTACCTTGAGTTTGTATCTATTGTGTGCTCTTGTATTGTTATGGTTGAAGCTGAAGTTTTCATTGACAGGTAGGACATTGCAATATATAATTTTATGTACTATATTTAGATCGGACCGAAGACAGTGTAGTTCTAGGTTTTCTATGTCTACAATTTCAAGTCTGGTGGCATAAGGTATTCTGCAACGAGTAGAGGAGTGGAGAACTCTTCTTGTGAAATATTTCTGGACTTTCTCAACTGTATTAATATCAGATACATAATGCGGGTTCCAGACTGATGAGCTGTATTCAAGTATTGGTCTAGCAAATGTAGCCCTAGACAACCTGTGAGCTGCTGGTCATCCTTTCAGGGATATTTCCTTACGGGCTTCCACATCGCCTTCAACAATGGCAGAGCTAACATGTTGCCTTCCCTAGAAAAGTTTTTAAAAAAAATCTAGCTTCCCAACCTCCCCAAGGCCTGAGAGAAGGCTAGATAAATGCATGTTGGAAGTTTGATTTGTTGCCAGTTTTAATGTTGTTTTAATAGAAACAGAGAAAACAAATGGCAGGAAAAGTCCCAGAGGTCCCAGAGGTCTAGTCTGCCCTTTGAGTTTTTTGTTTGTTTTTTTGTTTTTAATTAATTATTTGTTAATTATTAATTTTCTGCTACATTGCCCAGTCAACCAGATGTTCAGGCTGGATTTGATATTTTTGTCTGCCTGCCGAGTCCTTCCCAAAGACTTGGGATAAGCACGTATGGATGTTTGATGGTGTTAAATATTTATTATTAATTTTATTATTGTTGTTAATTTTATTTTTATGTATTAATTTATTTACTGCATTATTATTTATCCCAACCATGCTCAAACTCAAGGTACTAATGATTGACCCACTATCTCCTCTGGTAGTTTCCAACCATCCACTACTCTTTCTGTGAAGTAAAACTTCCTAACATTACTGTTAATGTTTTATTAATCCGTGATTTTACGGTTTTGATATGATTTTATATGTTAACATTTGATTGGGAGCCGCCCAAAGTTAGTTGAAAGATGGGCAGCTATATAAATGTTTTAAATAAAAAAATTCTGGAGGATATTCAGAGGTGTCTCTGCTTTGAAAAGAACCCATGTTGAGTATTCTGTTTCCTTACTAGATTCCTCAAACCCTTAAGCAATGGCAGAGCCTCCAACTTCACTGGAAAAAATCTTTAAATTTTTGGGATATATCCAAAATAGCCCATGTTGAACTATGTATCTATCTATCTATCTATCTATGTATCTATCTATCTATCTATCTATCTATCTATCTATCTATCTATCTATCTGGTCTATCTATCATCTATATACGCACACAAACATCAGCACAGGAAATGTTAATATGACATTTTGTGTTATGTCATAAATTGTTTGGTGATCATTTTTATGTCATAAAATATTGAATAAAATTTGCCAAATTTCAACTCCACGAGTCATGGGTCCTGGATTTTAGATGCGTTCTGTAGGTTAGCCCTTTTCAGATACCTTGGTTGAAATACTTTTGCCTTATGGCACAACATTTTACGCAGTTAAAAGGTTACGGAATCTGAATTTTAGAGATATATAGACGTGTCCGCTTGCAGGAGACGTTCCAGACCTCGTATTTCATCTCTTTATTTCTACTTCCGCTCTTCTTTTTTTTCCTGCAGGTATCTGGTGGGAATCTACTTGCCATCCTGAATCGACATTATCAGGATTTAAGCTGCTTGGCCTTCACGGACGATAGCAGCCATTTTCTCTCTGGAGCCAAAGACTGTCTTGTCATAATCTGGAGCCTGTACAGGTATGAATTGAAATGGCTTCCCAGTTCCCGATTCTGCCCACAAGAACAGCATCACTGCATTTACCAGTGCTCCCGCATGAGAATATTATTTTAGGCACCAACTTTTAATATATTGAGAGTGTCCTGAGCTTTAGAGGAGGTATGTTCCACTTATGTGCAGAAAGAGATCCTTTTGTATTATTTTCACAAATACGTCCAGCCAAACAAATGTCCAAGTTAAGCTTTAAATTAAATTGCTTTTAATTATGGACTATTTAATTAATTGTATTTATTTTAAAAAGTACCTTTAAGTTTGGATTCATCAAAATCACATTCTCTCCTTTATAGAATTAAACAAATTTTGCAAAAAGACAAGAATGCCATTTTTCTGCTGATATTTAGAACGAGAGTTCTTGGCCAGGATTTAGGAGTTACCTATACAGAATCCTCTCTTTAGTTGTCATCCTCAGTGGCATGTGTCATAGATGAAAGTAAGGCTGTTTGCTTGGGCTAAAAGGCGTAACATAAAAGCCTCTAAAGGTCAGGGAAAAAGGGAAAGGTTCTTGTGGGTGGGAAAATTTTCCCCAAAACACATCCCAGTGAATGAATTCTGAGATTATTCAATGTCCTTGGGAAGCTGACAAACTTCCTTTTCCTCCTTTATTCGGATTTGGGCACATTGATCTAAAATGGAAGGTAGAGACAACTGAAAGAGGAAGCCTAAAGATTTAGACTTTATCAAAAACAAGCCACAGATAAAATAGGCAGCCTGTAATTATCCGCTCAATTGATTTCCACCTGAATTCCCACACACTCATTTTTAGCATTATTGCTTTAGTGGTTAAATGGAGTGCATGTTGCAGCTCCAAATCCATCCTGGCGTACAACTTTCCACTTTACTGTGTTAAAACTGATTCATTTCTCAGTGTGCTGCAGGTGGAATATGGCCAGAGCCCTGAGCCCCGCCACGTGTGGTCACGGCACAGCCTTCCCATCACAGATCTCTGCTGCGGTGTTGGCGGTCCCTTGGCCAGAGCTGCCACAGCCTCTTTGGACCAAACAGCAAAAGTAAGAATACTCAATTTGGAAGTAGCATAGAGAGTTCTCACCTATAACCATTAGTTTGGTGACCGTTGAAAGATACGACTGTCAGGGTTCCAAGTAGCATACCCACAGCAAATAAAACTCAGAGGCAGATGTCAGGATTCCAGCAATCGCCCTAATTAAATCATGATTCTTGAGCCAAACTTCAAAAAACTTCAAAGGATTTATTAGAGGCAACATACTGGCATTGCCCTGTGTACATAATTTACAGTCACCTGGGACCCTGTTTCCTCCCTCCCCCCTGGGTGTCTCATAAAGCAGATTCTCCAATTGAGCACGTTCACAGGCTGGGTGTCATCATTCACATTCTCCAATTAAATATATTCTCGGGCAAAAGCTCTGGTAGTTTAGTTACAATCTTTTAAAGATAAGAGTTGGAATGTACTTTTGATTTCAAGCTGCTGCACTATACTACCGGATTTCCTTCCGGGAGGGCGGGGAGAGGGGGGTGGTCTTTTTATGACAGCTACTAAAACAGGCATAGGAATGCTTTATGAGTTGACACAGATAGATTCCTCAAAAAATAGTTTTATTTGATATGTCATATTGGCACAGGTTGGTGAAAAGCAACTCTGAAGGTTCCGGTTTTCACCTAATTAAAAGTAAAAGTTTTCTCCTCTCCCTAAACAGTCAGTCCCATGGTCCAATCAAGGCGCTGTCTGGTTGCCTGGTGACATCACTCCTCCTTCCTCTGATCAGGTGTGAGAATGTCCTTGGTTCCCAAGGGAAAGTGTTTTATTTTGGCTACAAAACTCCAGCTATCTCTAATCCCCCCCTACTTATCCCTCAGCTCCAGTGTGGCAACACTGAAGCTCCAAGATGGCTTCGGTTAGGTCAGCTTCAGGGTTGACAATGGCATTGGAAAAAGTGACTTATGACTGTTTCTCACACTTATGACCGTTGCAACCCTTGGTCAGAAGATCAGAATTTGAATGTTTGACAGCTGGTTCATGTTTATGACAATCGCTGTGTCCCAGAATCGTGTGATCCACTCTCGTGACTTTCTGACAAGAAGAATCAATGCAGCAGCCAGATTTACTTAACAACTGTATTCCTAGCTTAACAACTGCAGTGATTCATTTAACAGCCCTGGCAATAAAGAAAGGTCGTAAAATGGGGCAAAACTCATTTAACAACTGTCTCACTTCTGAAATTTTGGGCTCAATGGTGGTCATAAGTTGAAGACTAGTTGCATTATAGTTTTGTGCAAAATACTGTGTTCTTGTATCAAAATACCAGTTAAACTCCTAGTGTTTCTCTGCAATTGAATTCGACCAGGACAGCACAAACATCGTGCTGTTCCTGTTTTTGAAAAATATCAAAACTGCATGTGGAAAAGGCAGTTCAATCTGTTTTGGGAGCAAAATGGAATGTTCCAGAACTGGATCGCATAATTTTGCACACAGCTAGGGAATTGAATTGCTCTGTTCATGCCAAATCCTTTTTAAGGTAGGGAATCAGAACCACTGCTTGGCAAATATGTACATATGCATATTAGTTTCTGCTGGTATACATGGTAGGTCTGGAAATGGAAACCTTTTGCTTACATACAAACAAATGCTTTTCTAAAGGTTTCTGGATACAAACCCTTTTGGGGAGGGAGGGGGCAATATAACCCTCCCCCCCCCTTATAATTTAGAGTCTGTTTTCAGCATGGATTTTTTCTGTCCTATGTACAACAGAGTGCAGAAATGGGTCGTGGAACTGAACATATTGTAAAATAACCTCATCATGTATTCTAATTAGTCTCAGATCACCAGGAGAGCAACAACATTTGGGGAAAGAGACAGATAATTTAAATGCTGCATGTTCCTGATTCAAGGACCTAAAAAACCAGCATCATATCTTTGGCATTTAGCTGGAGTGCAGGAAAAATGAACCCCTGAGATCAAAGTTGGTAGTCTTTCACAGTCATGGTGCCTGTTGCAGTTTTGCATTACGGAGAGTCGTCTACAAGTGTCTATGAAGATTCTCAGTCATCCAGGTCATGGTTGTCCAAAACGTGCTTTTTTCAAGAGGCAACTGGACTTTCTGGTTTTTCTTTGAAGACGTTTCGCTTCTCATCCAAGAAGCTTCTTCAGCTCTGACTGGATGGTGGGGAATGGAAGGATTTATACTCCTTGCAGACAGATGGTCGTTTGCATCCTTTTACAGCAGGGGTATCAAACTGGTGCCTTGTAGGCGGGTTGCGTCACGCACAGGCCACGCCCACCCCCCAGCTGTGCAAAAGGGGGAAAACATTGCAAAACGTCATGTGACGGCAACATGGTGGGGGGGGGGGGACAACCCACCACCCAGTCAGCCTTTTTTCCTCACCATCCAGTCAGAGCTGAAGAAGCTTCTTGGATGAGAAGCGAAAGAAGAACCAGAAAGTCCGTTTGCCTCTTGAAAAAAAAGCACCTTTGGGACAATCTACAACTTTCAACAACTACAATTTTCAAGGGGCAGTAGATCCTCGTTTAACCACAGTAATTGAGATTGGGAACCCTGTCACTAAACAACACAGTTGTAAGGCACAGCTTCGTGTGACTGTGGCCGAATTACAGTGGTAGTTCCAGCAATCCCAGCTTCCGTTCTTAAGAAAATCCCCCAGCATTTCCTGGAGGTGCGATCACCATTTGCAATCTCCTGTTGGCTTCCCTATTGACTTTGCTTGATTGAAGCTGGCAGCGAAGGTTTTACAAATGACAAATCACATGACAGTGGGACGCTGCAATGTCATAATTTCAAGCCGGATGCCAAGCAGCTGACTTGTAATGAGGGACATTGCAAACAGCCGCAGCTGTGAGGCTTTGTCATAAATACCCCTGATTCAGAACCATTTCAACTTGGAATGGTCGGTCGAGCCCCGACTTGGGGCTCACCGTTTCTGGGGGGGTATTGTGGAGGTGGCGACTCACTGGTGGTGGATCCATGTCCAATGGCGCCGGATGGCCAGGGTGTTCACCATCGATTGCGGGCAGCGGGGGTGCCACACAGCAGGGGTGACGAGAGGCACGGTGGCCTACCAACAGTAGCCCCGGTATTGGACAGACAGCATTGCAGGCAATTTGTGTCAGAGCCTGCGACGCCCAGCTGACAGGCGGTCTTCCACGCGACTCCCAGCTGTCCAGTGGTCCTCCAGAGCAATTTGTATCGGGTGGATCCTGCTGTCGGCCACCGGATGCTAGTTACTGGTGGGGTGTGGCGGCCGGATATACTGGGGTGGGGCCTGAACCTTTGAAAAAGCACCGGGAGGTGGATGCTCCCAGCGCGACTTTGTATAGGTTTCCCAACTCGTCGTGTTCTGAGGCTCAGCCTGTCTGTGATTGAAGCTGGAATTAAAGCAGGATTCTGCCACTGGGGGTACGTGTTCTGGCTCACTTTCTTTCGCTGTCAGGTCTGGCCCAGTGCAACTGAGACAGTCACCAAACGAGTGGCCGTTCAACAAGGACTGCCTGTATGCAAAGTAGCCTCAGCCACAAAACTGCCGTTCATATGTGCTTCTTGGTGCTCCTTCAGATATCCCAGGTTTTCTTCCAAGCTTTTATATACCACTGGTAGTAGCTGTGTGCCTCAGCCTGTTTCTAATTGGAACCGTGCCTGTTTCCCTGAGGTTGGGTTACATAAAATTCCATCTGGATTATTAAGGTACAAGCGAGGACAAAGAACATCAGAAAGCTCTGCGCTCAACACGTGGGCTTAATCTCAGGGGAAGGGACAGAGCGTGGATCAATGCCAGGTTGGGGAAGATGCATTTATAAGAATTCATCCCCTTTTGTTCTTGCTTCCCTAGTCTTTTCCTATAATCTCTGAAAAGAAGAGTTTTCTCTCTTTATGTAAAAATCCCACTGTACTGCTATTGATATGTAATGCGTGTCATATTCATAGACTGGCACCTGGCTTAATTTTGTAGCATTACCACTAAAATCTGGATTTTAATCTGCACCTTTTCCCATTCTCAGTTGTGGGAGATCTCCTCCGGGAACCTTCTCCTCTCTGTCGTCTTCGACGTGAGCATCATGTCAGTGACCCTTGACCTTGCGGAATACCACATGTTCTGTGGCGGGCTGGATGGTTCCATCTTCCAGGTTGATCTCTGCTCCTGGGTAGGTCCCATTGCATGCAGTATCTAGTAAGCATCCCAGGTGCCTTGGGCAGCTCAGTGGGATGGAATCTCAGGCCTATTTAGGATCATTATGTTCTATACAAATCTCTTGCACTTCAGAACAGATATTCGGAGGGGTGGGTCTGTTGCTGCGTGGATGCAAAAATATAAAAAAATAAAATTATATTAACAAATGGCCTCTAGCTTCCAGCAAAAAATGCACATTGGGGAACTAGATTTGTTTAACAATCACTGTGTTTGCTTAACAACCCTGGTGTTCATCTAATGACCACAGAAATGATTATAGCTTTGAATCCGGTCACGATGCTTTGACCTATGATCACAATGACTTAGGACTGTAATTTCAGGCTCATTTACGATCGTAAGTCAAGGTCTACTTGTGCTTGAGGTGAGGTCTTCCAGGATTTATACCTTTGCCTGGTTTCGAGCATTTAAAAAATATTTTAAAATATTAATGATTTCTAAGGTCCTGAGGCAAAATATTTTAAAATATGAATGATTTCTAAGGTCCTGAGGCAACCTTACAAACATTTCCCTACATCTGGGTGCTCATGAATAAGCACATTGGCAGTTACTGATTTACACAGCAGGGCACAAAAGCTTTTCATGATAATACAAGGTGTGGTGGTTGGAATGCAGTATCGCAGGCTAACTCTGCCCACTGCCGGGTGTTCGATCCTGAACGGATCAGAGTTGAGTCAGCCTTCCATTCTTCCGAGGCCGATAAAAAGAAGACCCAGATTGTTGGGGACAATATGCTGACTCTGTAAACTGCTTAGAGCAGGCTGTAGAGACCTATGAAGAGGTGTATAAGTCTAAGTACTATTGCTATCGCTATAAAAAAAACAATAAAGTCCTTCCTTACACTGCGAATAAAATAATGCCACATTTTGTGGGTCTGCTGAATCAGTTAAGTCAGGAATGAAAAATCAGATCTGTATGGTCCATGTTTTATTCCCCTTAGTTATTATTAATGTGGCCACCCAGCTGAAGCCAATGGGGCTCTAAGAGCCCACAAAAGAAAAGGAGAAAGAAAGCCATAATTAACCAATACAATATACCTCATTAAAATGTGACTGGAGTGTAGTAGCACTGTTGTGTTTTGGACTTTGGGTTCCTGCAGATCAGCTCAACAGCACAAGTCACCCCAAATCCTAATTGGGTTAAGGAACAAACCACCTCCTAGTTTTGTCTTGTTTCTAATGGCCATTGCTTCTTCCATAGCCTGCTACTTTTTGTTTACCAGAGACCACCTTAATTCTGTCTTGACAGAACACTTTCCTTCTCCTACCTGGGCAGAATATAAATTGATTTTCAGGGAGGAAAGCAATCTTGGTGGGCAGCCTTAAGGTTACAGTACCTCAAATGCCAAAGACCTGGGTGTGAATTTCAACAGCAAATCTGTTTCCTTCTAGCAACCGTAGTTTCTTTTAGTAGCCATAGTGCAGTGGAAGATCCCGAGTACCTCCAGTTTAGAAGCATTAGGTAACAAATAAAGGGAAGGTCTGTCCACCAAACTACTACTGCCTGAGCAAAATATAAGGAATATAGTAGATTATTAACTTGGAAGGAGCTTCCTCAATCTTTCATTCCTGTTTGATTATCCAGAATGGTGCATTAAAATATAATTTTCCCCCTTCTCTCAGCCTGTGCAAAGAGAAAGAGGTTTTCAGTCTGAGCAGGAGAACGGAAAGATCTTCAAAGGACATAGGTGAGTGTCTCATTTTTATGTTCCTTCTTTGAACTGGCACGATTTGAATATTTAGCCTGGGCCAGCACAGCTTCCATTTATGGCTACTGCAGGAATGAATGTCTGTCATAATCCCCAAAATAGCAAGATTCCGCCCCTCCCCCCACAAAAAAAAATTATACCGCTGATATTTTTTCAGATTTTTAAGAGTCACAGATGGGTTCCTTTGGTGAATATCCCATAATCTCTCCTTGGGCACATGGCAACCATTGGGTGAGATTGCACAGAGGGTACTACACAGAGGTGGTATTCAGCAGGTTCTGACCAGTTCTGGAGAACCGATAGCTTGAGTATTGAGTCGTTTGGAGAAATTTTGAGTAGTTCAGAGAACTGGCAAATATCACCTCTGACTGGCCCCCCTGCCCCCATCTATTCTCTGCCTCCAAAGTCCCAGCTGATCGGCTGGATCTTCTTTGTTGCCCTGCACAGGAGAACAGAGCTGGAAAGCAGGTTAGTGGGGTGGGGAGGGAATGGGGATTTTGCAGTAACCTTCCCCTACCCTGCCCACCAAGCCACACCACGCTCACCAAGCCATGCCCACAGAACCAGTAGGAAAAAAAAATTGAATTCCACCACTGGTGGTACAACTTGAAAAAAAATGGCAATCCTTGGTTCAATGCCAGTTTCTAAATCTCACCAACATGGGCTGCTGGTCCCTTCTACAGGTAGTCCTCGACTTACAACCATTCATTTAGTGACCGTTCAGAGTTACTGGGTATTCATGAAAAGAATGCTTTCATTCAGGCACTGGAAAAAGAGACATGACCATTTATTTCACGTGATCAAAATTCAAGTGCTTGGCAACTGGCTCACATTTACGATGGTTGCAATGTCCCAATGTCCCAGGATCATGGGATCGATCGCCTTTTGCAACCTTCTGACAAGCAAAGTCAGTGGGGAAGCCAGATTCGCTTAACAACCGTTGTTAACTAACTTAACAATTGCAGTGATGCACTTTAACAGCTTAATGGCAAGAAAGGTCTTTTTTTTTTCATTTTTCTCCGAATGCCATCACTCTGCTAAACAAATAATTCCCTCAACACTGTCCAACTATTACTATTACTCCTCCCATCCTTCCTTTTAACCCATCTCCTCCCACTTATGACTGTATGACTGTAATCTTGTTGCTTGTATCCTAACTATTTTCATTGACTGTTTCCTAGTATTTTTTGATTGCTTATTGTACCCTATGACTATTACTAAGTGTTGTACCGGATGATTTTTGACTCTTGACGAATGAATATTTTATGTACCCTGAGAGTATTTGCACCAAGACAAATTCCTTGTGTGTCCAATCACACTTGGCCAATAAAGAATTCTATTCTATTCTATTCTATTCTATTCTATTCTATTCTATTCTATTCTATTCTATTCTATTCTATTCTATTCTATTCTATTCTA